AAAAAAAATAAAATGTAAACAATGACGTCAGCGAAGATCCACCTATTCATTAGTATGATTGTTTTGTTATTCAAACTTCCATAAAGACCTGCTCGCCCCACATCATTAAACCTGGAAGGAATAGGTGATGGCTGGAAGGCAAGGCAGTCAAGTGGTTATATTAGTTCTACTGATTCAGATTTCTCTGAGGACCTTTGTGATGATGATGATGGAAAGTTATCTAGAAATAGCCAGGTATATGAATGTATTGTAAATGAATAGATGGATTCTCAATGATGGTTTGTTTCAATTATGGCTTAACATCACTAAGGGACTGCTCATTTAYTTTGATACATARCCGGGCTGGTGTTTTTAATGGTGGGTGTACAGTCATAAATCAAAATCTTTTGAGTGCAATAACTTTTGTTGTAAACTTCGTATCTTTTCACAAAACTTTACTAAATACCTAGATCTACAAACGATCTTTCCAATGATATAAAAATCAGAAAATCATTAAAATGTGACGGTTTTGGGTACGCTGATACCTTAAGGGGGGATAAATTGAATTTAGGAACTCCTTCTTGGTTCGATGATAGAATTATTACTAAGGGGAAGCATGTACTCAACACAAATGAGAGATGGGTAGGTGTAGGGGGAGTGGGTTTGAGCACTGCCTCGGCGATGGGGCTATATTGAGGAAACACATTCAAAAGGCCAGTGAGTCCATAAGCGAAAGACGTGACTCATTTAGTTTTGCACTGAGTCAGTACTCCCAAACTCTGCTACTGGGGAAATAAGGTGTATTATGGAATATTATAGAGATAAACTAGTCCTACCCTCAATAACATAAAATACAATAGTATAAAAGAAGAGACCTGTAAACACCAGGCCTAACTTATTTTCACACTCCTTATACATGTACACTATGTTTCAAAGAATTTTGTTAGAAGATTGTCACCTACAATATGTGTGCTAGGAAGAATTATTTTGATGAAAAAAATAGTTGAAAACTGAAAGCATTCTTAATTCATAATTTGTAAACTGCACAAGTGTTTGATCTTTTTTCTTTTGTAGCTCCAGGAACTAGAGAAAAATCTCAATGAAGGGCAAATGTTTACTGAATTTCAAAAGATTAAAAGGCGSAGCGAGGTAAGGATAGAATTGATTTAATGCTAGCCTCATATTACAGCTTAAAACGTATATTCTTCCTATGCAGAACTTGTCTGTTTCCACTGGTAGTCTTCCTGTGAATGATACAAGAAATCGCTTTAATGACATTTTACCTTATGAGGTTTGTCTGATAAACTGTAATCAACATTTAAATAGGATAGCATATTCTTGACAGATTCCCTTACCTTCTTCCTTAGGTTTTTTATGTTCCAATAGGTTTAGCTGCTATTGACAGTACACTATTGTTTCATCATTCCCTGTTGGTGTATTTTATGTTTTTGTTATGTCAGGGCATTGATGTTAATGATATTCAAATGTAATGTTCTTATCTATGTAAGCATTGTTTTTCCTGTTGTTCTTCCTTATTTTCCAATAATATGTGTGGGACAACCTAAAGCAATTTTGTATCTGTCTGCAGGATAATAGAGTTCTTCTTAGTCCACGTAACAATGCTGCAAATAACAATTACATTAATGCTAGTCATGTCAAGGTTAGTATGTCATCCATTCAATAATAGGAACTGCACACACTCTCAAAAGAGGGAGTTGTAAATGACTAGCATGGGGCATAGTCTAAGCTTATGTCCTGAAAGAGGGGGGATGTTCAAGTTAATCAGTGAAGGAGAGGGGGTAAGCTGTTCTCAGATACAATTGAACCAGATGTTGAGTTATATAAAGTTATATAATCATAGAAGGTGAGATTGAAAAGATSCATGGGAAACACGGTAATTAAGATTAATGCCGGAATGTATTCTGGAACTGACTGCAAGATTTATGAACCAAATAGTGCCCTTGTTTATCCATTCATTCTCAGCTCCTACATGTAACCTACATGATTGTATGTTCTATGATTTGACACTGACAACGTATATCTAATTGAGTGCATCTTTTACATGTCCCACGAAAACTTTAGAAATATTTATTCTAAAGCAGTGACAATCTGTACAATTGGTATTATATAGATGAAGATAGGGTGCAGTKTATACAAATACATTGCTGCACAAGGTCCGACTAATGACACACTGCATGATTTCTGGCAAATGATTTGGGAACAGGATGTGCGGTTGGTCGTCATGGCCACCGAAGAAAAAGTAAGTTGTGACAGTAAGCTATGTAGAAATAGAGAATAGAATTAAARAAAAGGCTGAGAAATCACCAAACATGTAAACAAATTAAGTTATCAACAACAAATTTGAGAGATTACCCCTTCTTTACAAGCTTGCAAAAAAGTAAGCCAAGTTAGCAAACAAGCAAATCAGCCATTAACAAAGCTTGAGTTGTTTACAGGCTTTCAATATTATGATTTGGATTGATATTCATATACTTTATCACAAGAATGCTCACTCTCAGAAAATGTACACTCTAGTTAAGTTTGGTGCGAGAAAGGAAACATGCACGATAATAATCTGTATTTCAAGCATGATCACTTGTGAGCCATCCGAATAAATAGTCAAGCGCAAATTGGGAAATGYTACTCACTGACAATATGCTTAATATGTTCAAGTTTATTATAGCTAAAAAAGTTGTTATTTCTTTGTTTTTCTTTTGTTTTCTTGTTGTTGTTATTGTACAACCCAGGCTAAAAACGTTTYCTTTTTTTAATTGAGGCATTCTTTTATGATACTCATGTGATCTTACGATTGTGTTGTTTCAGATCACCCGTGAAACCAACTGTATGCGTTATTGGCCAGAACAAATTGGTGAAGAACAGAACTATGGCCAGTATCATGTGGACATTGAAGACATACGTGACTGTTCACCTTACAAAATACGACGTATGAAACTTCGTCATTCTCCTTCAAAACAAGCTCGTACTTTATATCATGTACAGTTTACAGACTGGCCAGATCATAAGATACCTGARGACCCAACTAATTTCTTAGGTATGTACAATTCTATGATGGACAKGGTGGACAGACAGACAAAGGGCATAAGCACAAAGCACTGAAASTGCAAATTCAGAAAATATAAGAATATAAGTACAAACTGAAGTTAGTATATTTTGTGCTCTTAAAGTATAATCGTTGATCGTTATGAAAGATCTATTGAACCCTCGACTAGCTATCTAATGTAACAAGTTTTCTTCTTTTTTTCTTATCGCTCTCACCTTGACTAACTGAGAGGGCTGATTCACCTTTAATTGAGTGGTGTTAATAAACTGTTGTTGTTTTGAAAATATTACTACTTTTAGTGATGACATAAATGATATAATATTGATCTATGTTTTTTTTTATTTCTAGAATTTTTGGATCAAATGGAATCACTAAGGCAACTAACAAATAGTAGTTTAGCACATGGTGAAGAAAGACCTCCTGTTGTTGTACATTGTACGGCAGGAGTAGGGAGAACTGGAGTTATCATTTTAACAGATCTAATGATAGCGTGTGTACAGAATAATCAGGTAAGGAAACCCAAACTCAAGGATCTAAATTTTTTCTAATTTCTTTTCTCAAGGCCTGGGTTTGGGGCTGCATGTGTTCAAACGTTGATGTTAAGGTAGTGAAAACAAACGCACATGTAATATATCAATCAATGAAAATTCTAGTGCCACCCTTGCTAGGTCTTTGTCACATTTCCATTATCAAGTTGAAATCAGTAACTTAAGCTTAGCATTGTTTTAATGTTTGTGTCGCAGTGAAAACCAGGCTTTTGGGTCAGTTGCGCAGCTTATCTTGTAACAATTATTTGAACAAYCCCCTTTTCCCTCAAGGATGAGTTCATATAATTCAAGTCCATTTGTAGCCATTGTGATTAACCCATGAAACAATAAAATGCTGGTGTGTAATATGTCACAAAACAAAGGAAAACGTTCAAAATAAAGTCAGCTATTAAAAATAGCCGAATATTTGACTGTAAAGATAAAAGTGCCGGCCAAACTTGAGTTGTGAAAAGTAAATCAACACAATAAATGGATAATATTATRCAATGATTGTGTCTACTGTAGATTAACACATTGTTCGTTATTAATCGCAGCGCATAAATATCCACAAGACCCTTGTACATCTTCGTCGACAAAGAATGCAGTTGGTGGCAAACTTTGGCCAGTATCGATTCGTTTATACAGCAGTTATACATTATCTCAAGAACAGCAGATTAATTTAGATATTTTGATATACAATATTCCATTGCAATACCTGCGTTACATATCTCAATTCAACACATCCAGTGCATTTAACATCAGTGACCAATTGGAATTGTGGGAAATCACTAGAATTACAGTAAATCACTTATTTTTTATACAAAGTAATAAGCAACAATTAATTTGATAATGATCAATCTAATACCWAAGTGTAACTGTAGCTTTTGACATTCCGCGCATTCCCTATGAGTGCCTATGAGTGTGTCAGTCAAATTGAAGAGGGTTGCCAGGCCACATCCAAACAACAGATCATTAACAGATCATCTTTGCCAATATGGTACTGCAGGCATTGATAAATAGAGAGTATTCTTGATATATCGTAAGAGTTACATTCAAAGGAATCAAAGTCTTGATTATCATTACTACGTGGTCATCAATTCTATGATATCCTGGCATCATTGCATCTACATGGTTTATACATTCATTCATTTGTGTATGACAACCTTTCAATTTGTTCTACTATTAGAAACTATATATACAAATCATGTGAACCAAGCCTTAATTTCTAGAGTGTATTTCTATCGTAAAGCTTGAAAGAGCGTGCCAAGAATAACATTTTAACTGACAATTTGTATACAAAAYGAAAAGATTTATTTTTATATACATCTTTTCTTTTAAGTGTAAATATGCTGAAGAAAGTCAGAGTGAAAAAAATAATATGAGTATGTTTATTATTGGATATTTTTTCTGTAAGGATCTCTTTCCTCGCTTACTAACAATTTTCAATTACAGATTTATCTTAATGGACGGTTTCTGATTTTATTTTAACTCATGTGATGGCGTGTATTCTTTGTTTTCAAGTAACATCAGAGCAGCCATCTTGGAAGAATTTCAACAAAAGATTTCTCATTTAGTATCAATTGTTCATTCCTCCAACATGGCTGTCAGTCTTTTATCTTTTGAATCTCATTGGAATGGTTGAAAACGATTAATTAAAGTAAAAAAGGCCCTATAATCCCGCATTTCTCCTTCATTGTATTACATTCACTGTCRGTTCCCTTTTATTTGGATATCTTTTTATTGAGATGTATTTAATTTTATAAATATAAGTTGAGTCATCAAATTTGAAAGAAATGTACATTGAAAATATTATATGTGTGTTCAAAATATTAAATGATCTTCTCTGGATTTAGTAGTATTCTTCTGAATTTTGTGTTACTATGAGCTGGTTTTGTTCCACTAATGATGGAATATAAATGCAAAGTTTGTAWGGAATTCTCGTTTTGGTGTTTTTGTGCCTCTTCTAACCCTTATAACTTCAAGAGGATTTTTAAATTAAAATATTTTTCTGTGAAACTTTCATGGTTTTTGATATCAATCATCTCAGTGTTTTCTCTTATCAGCATATTTCTTTAGCAATAATATGCAAGTTAGTGTCGTCTAGTATAAAAGTAAAGGCACCAATATCAGTTCTGCACGTGCATTTCTGCAGTAATGTTGAATGCACATGGATGAAAACTAGCAGATTGWTGGATTCATTCATTATTGGGTAAATATTAGTACTAGATTAGCGCTGTTTCGAAACCGTGCAATACAGTTTCTCTGTTACATGACCTGATTTACAGTGTTGTAGTGGTTTTGTTTGTATTTTTGTTTGTTTGTTGTTCTCTGCTGTTTTTGTTTGTTATCTGATTTATTTTTATTATTTTTTATTTGGTCAGCGATTGAATCTGTCTGTGTAGCTTGCAAGCCAAATGATCCCAGACTTTCTAACCCATCCGGGGATTGAACCCAGTCCTCTGTCAGAGTACTAACAGTGTGCACCAGTACACCAATAGGTTTGATTTGAATATTTGGCAAGCATGTTTGTGATGTTAGTCAATAGCAATGTTAACAATTGGCATGTGAATCTCAAACATTATGGCAATGTTTTTGCATTGAGATAGGTTGCCTGAAAATGACATCACATACCATTACTTACCTTCAATCAAATGCACAAACATACAACTTTGCCGTCATCAATCATGTTCAAGGTGCTTAGGGAAGGTATGTTTATAATTGGGGCGAGGGCTGGAGTGGGAGAGGGGAGGGTCATATATCAATTTTGCAAGCTTTAGGGGACGATCACATCTTGACTCGAAAGCTTTAATCTAGGGTCATCTTAGTTTTATGTGTTTACAATCAGGATTTTAATATAATAGCTTGGGGTATCTTTTTCATTTGACTTGATTATATTGAAATTATGATATGTAGAATATATCATAAATTATGGGATTGCCAATATACTTTTTATAGGAATATGGGTGCCTGATATCCTATAAGTTTAATATATTTTAATATATATACCATATTTACTCATGTATAAGCCGCTCAGTGGCGGATCCAGGGGGGTTCCATGGGTTCCTAGGAACCCCCTTCAAGCATAAAAAAATAAAAAATAAATGATAAATGGAATAAWATGAAAACGCATCGTACAATGAGTTTTTAGGAAATACATCACGCTACATCTGCTACAGTTCGAGAGGCACAGTAAAAAAGTTCGTTTTAGGAAGTGGAACCCTCCTTTGAAAAATCCTGGATCCGGCACTGCCGCTCTCTTTGAGTTATGGGAACAATTTTTTTGGAGTGGGATGTAAGTCTAATATATGAAAATGATAGCAATATACACATTAAAACAACAATAACTAATAACCAATAAACTATGACTTATAACAATTTAACACTATCAATAGATTGCTTTTAGTAAAAGCGTGAAAAAGTTAGAAATACTATTTTGTACCATTTTATGCTAATTCTTTTGTTTTCTTTTGTCAGCTATAGCACTTATTTGCACAATTTGCTAATTACTACTGTTTCACGCTTTATAAGTGCTCGCAGATAAACTGTGCAACTGTACACAAATCTAAGTAGTACTTATAAATTTGTACTAAATGTGGGCCTGAAGCAAGACGATATTGAATGCTTCATTTGTATCAATACAATTTTACATTGTGTAACTGCATGCACGATTTACTAAATACAACTAAATACCACTATTAAAACTAATAAACTCAG